CGATGTTGTCAAAGGGCCATTATCCACCTTTGTTTCACACGTTAACTGTACAGTGTTTTTCTTTATGACTGAAATTTCATAACTTCCATAACAAAACAAGACAACCTTTGATCATATTTTGACTTGAAAGAGCAACATATCTTGGCCCTGAAGCAGTTACCAAAGTAACCTCAGCATTTCAACATTCGATACATTTAGGGGGTGTTGCGCTGCAGTGGTAGTGTCCCTACCTCTGGACTAGAGGGCCTAGGTTTAAGTCCTACATGCTCTGGAGGTGTCTGAACAGATCGATTGAAAATAACTTTTAATGCAGTTAAGGTTTTACGTGTGTGTGTGTGCGCACTGATGATCTTCTCTACCCTATCCCTCCTGATGCCAGGCCATAGAACGCTTTTGTCTTCCAGTTTCAGGATGGGTAGTGTATGCCAGCAGGAGCTGGCATGAGACCCTCTTCTGAACACACACACAAGTTGGGAGTCTTGTCCCCCTGCTGCCTTTTGTTTTCCACAGATGCCAACAAACAGCTGTCTCCTCAAACAAGATTAGGAGGGAAGGGGGCGGGAATCGGATATTTTAACCATTTTGGATTGGTGAGTTGCTCGGCCAATCGCAGCCAATGGATCTGGCAGTTCATTGCCACCGCTAATTTGGAAAAGGAGTGGGATCAGGCAGGAGGGGAACGTGCTGGATTTCTTACTTCACAGTTTACAATGAAGCATCGAATGACTGCATATCATGTCGGGATTTTTAAGAAGTATAACATTTGCTTTTGAACTGAGGAATTTCGCCAAGACAATATTGTCCAAGTTAAGTCAGAACTTGAAAAATTGACTCGTGAAATCCCAGTCCAAGTCAGTAATTCAAGTCACTAACTCTACATATTAGGAATGATTTAGGTTGGTGAGTTAACAAAGATTTCCAACAGATGTGGTCTGTATGAGTCACTGCCTTTCTAGGTAGGGATTCCAGTGTTTCAGAGGAAATGCAACTTTGAGAGCAGTGTTTTAATTTAGAACATTCTTTTCCTTGTGGTGAAAACCAACTCTGGTTTTGTGATTCTTTTTAAATCCAGTCAAGGAACATGGATGTCATTACCAAGGATTTGCGTGGACTTATAAAAGGAATGGGCAATAAATGGACAATGGCAGTCCTTGCAGTGTTTGTACACTCCCATTGCTGACAATGAAGTTCCAGCATCTAGACTCAGCAACAGTGAAGAATTTCCATTTCAGAATGTTGAGACTTTTTCAGAGGGTCAGCAGTGTGCTGATTTGTAGTCCTGGACACCTTGCTGCCCTTGCCTCTCTGGGCTATAGGTTTGGAAGTGATTTGTTGAAGATTTATTTGTAACTGTTAACAATGTAAGCACCACAAGAAGAATTCATAGGCTGTAATCACTTCTCCCACAGCTTAGAACTTGTCTGTTCAACAGACATGGAAGCAGGAGGAGCAAAATCGGCCAGGTGTCTTGATCACTATCTATTGATCACCACTAAAGGAAAGCAGCCCTTTGTAGATGTCTGTAGGAGTTGCCAAGGTGTTCCACGGTCATTGCTTATCTGTGGCCATGACTGACTGAAGTGCTTAGCATATTACCAGCACATGCAGAACTAATGAGAAAATAAAGTCCCTCTGTTGTCAACTTTCACCTAGAAATGGTGACACATTTTTGAATTCTAATAACCCGATAGTTTTTTTTTAAATATGCACATGTAGAATATAAAAATGTGGTGTGCAATTTTGTACTCTTGTTGAAAAGAAAACTGTAACACAAAATTTGATTTATCACCACCATCAGCTAATTTTAACCTGTAAGAAAGGCAGGGATGAATGGAATTGCAACTTGAATTTAGGGTTGCAGTGACCTTTAGTTAACTTGGCAATCTTATTTTGACAGCTGTAGTTAATAAAATTAAAATACATTGGAGTTTAAATAAATTCCAGTTTGCTCATCTTGCTAGAGGGTGTGGCTGCTGAATGACTTAACAAGCTAAGTATTAAGGAGCAGGAACAGAGTGTGCCTGCAAGTAAAGTGGGAGGTTAAGCTGTTTAGAAGAACCCAGGTACATTTTTTTTCAGTTGTTGGCATCAATTCAGCCTTGTGTTGAGGAACAGTTTTGAAACTTAGATTTCTTGAACGTTCTTTTTAAAAATGATTGTGGCAAAGTTACTGGTAGCTTGACTTTAATGCGAAGGCCATAGCACACAACATTGAAACCAAATCCGAAAGGATTGAGTTGCAAACTTCCAGAGTTATAAAGATGTTCACAAGCCAGTCCAAAATAAACATTTGTTGACGAAAAGTTACAATTTACTTGTTGAAAAATTCTTTTGTGTGTACAACCTAGAGCATAACACCCATGGGCATATTTCGACTAAGTCCTTTAAACTGATATTTGTGCTTGGAGTTTAAAACAATAAATTTGCCATTTTAGGGAGTAATCAGTCTGAGTAGCCTGAATTAATAAGACTGTCTGAATAATGAATTCGAAGTGAGGAGTTTTATTTTCTGAGGGATTTATGTCCTATATATATATATATAATTTAACTCTTTCTTGACCAGGACTAAACAAGAAATTTAATGGATTATTGAAATGTTTGATTTCTTCTGCATTAAAAATTAAACCATTTTTCTATCAAAACGGTTACTTGATTTCTGAATTCAACTTGGTTCCATCGAAAGTAATTCGTAGATACCTCAACATTGTACTAACTAGACACAGCTTAGCAGGTTATAGCCTAAAATGATTTTTTTTTTAATAAGTGAATGTTTCATCGCAATTCTTCCATTATGTAAATTGGGCTGAGTCTGTGATAGTTATTTAATCAGCCTTTTCAGGTACGTTATGACATATTCAGGGCAGTTGGGACTTGAACCCAGGCCCTCTGGCTCACTACTACTGTGCCACAAAATCCTTTTGTTTTATTGTATTTTTGGCAAATTGCAGTTAATAACAACTTGGGTGGGGGGGGTTGTAATTTTACAAATTTCTTTATTACTCATCCATGTAATGTAGTTAAACATTTGATATGTTTGATGTGCACTAGATGTGTTGTTCAAGTTGTCCCTAGTTGCCTTTATTCTTGTTTATCTGTTATTATGCTAATATCTCTTTTTCAAACCATATTACGGAGTTAAAAATCAAGTGTTCAAGGAATTCTATAGGTCTAGCAGAATCTGCAGTTCCAAAGAAAAATCCTATTCAGTTCACTGTTAACTCTGTTTCTCTCTCCACAGATTCTGTCAAATCTGCTGAGTTTCCCCAGTATTCTGTCTTTGCAGTGGATATTGAAATATTTTACTTTCATGTTACCAGGTTAACAGTTAACTTTTTTTTATAGAATGTTAATTCATCCAAATATTTTTGAACTACTATCTGACCTAGGAGACATCTCAAAAATCAATATTTCTATTGACTAACTTCTGTTGCAGAGGGAAGGAGAAAACCTTGCCTTTTTCTAGCGCTTTTTTACAACCTCATGATATCCCAAAGCCAAAATTTAATAGGGTTGCAATACAGGCACATGCACCAACTTGTGAGTGGCACACTCCCAGAAATAGAATTGCCTCTGATTCAGAAGGTGAGGGTAAAAGCGTCGTTGTATGTTCAACTCCTCCAATCTGTGTTAACACTAGTCGAATACTCAGAGTGCTGGTTTATTGAAGGTGCTGTTTTGTTGCTGAGATTATTGACTGCAATCCTGTCTTGGGTGGAGCTAAAAGATCCTTTAATGCATTTTGAAGAACAGGGGAATTTACTGGATCAGTTGTCCAAAATTTATCAACCAACACATGAACCAGCGTATTCTTTTGATCACTAGGCATTCTAAAGGAAAACTTAGCTTGTCCAATCCGAGTAATTCTCTGAAAATTCAGGAAGGGGAAAAAGAACTTGCACTTGCGTGGAATTTCTCACAACCTCAGAATATCTGAAAGCCCAAAGAATTACTTTTGAAGTTGAGGCGCTACAGCCATAAAGGAAAGGGTGGCATTTATTTTGTACGCTGTGAGGTTCCACAAATAGGGATATAATAAGTAATACATTCTTCTATATTTGCTGGTTGAGAGAGAAATGTTAGCAAAATATGAGGGGAACTCACTGTTCTTTGACTAAGGCCATGGGATCATTAGAGTTCACCGACGAGGTTATAATATGATCCTGATTTAATGGAGGTGGCACAACCAACACTACAGCATTCTGATTGTACTTAATAAAATTATTGATGGTTTACATGAAGTGGGGATTAAGCCCCCAACCTTGTGATTTGGCTGAAAGTGAAGGTGACGACAAATTTGAACATAATCACTATCACTAACTTGACAGACAATAGCTGACCTATGTTTGTACACTATAGGAAGTTATGTCTCCGTTAAGATTGAAATGCATACATTGCAAACACACTTGACGTTACTGTTGCCAAGTCATAGTCTGAGATTACTTGACTGTTGCTAATATTTTGTGGTGAATTTTCTAGCTTGCTATGTTCACGACCACTATTCGGGATATAACCCTTAAGAACTTCCCATGAGTGTGAAGTGGATCAGTGAATTGTTGAAAGTGGAACTGAGCCAAACAGATCTGGAAAATTGAATTCCCGCATCATGCTGACTTGTTTATCTCCAGGGTAATGAAGGTGACCAGGGTCAGGTCACTAGCTGTGGGTTTGGGAAGGGAAAGTCTGGCCAAGATTCCTGTTCTGAATCATTATCCAGTGACTGCTGTGGAAGTGTTGGATAAGGATAGGATTGCTGTTAGTTGTAATACCTACATTTACAATGCGACAACGAGTCTTTAGAGACTGCTTAGACTCTCCCAAGAATCACATGCATTCGAACAATAAATTCTAGGGGTGATCATCATGACACTCCATTAGTCAGTGTCTGGCACAACTGGTGAAACTTTGAAATTGGGTAAAGTTATTTTTGCCTGCATTGAATGTGTTAAGTTTTCCAGCATAACACGCAACATAGATGTTTATTTTTGTTGTTCTTTTCACAGATGATACTTTAATGAGAGTGGGATGAGGCAAACGTTGCTCCACTTTGGATACTTCTGCTACAACCTCTCCCCTAGGACTTGATCATTGATGAATGTTTTGGGATTACACTATACCCCTCGATCACTTCCAATCGATGGACCACTGTATTGTAAATAATCGTGCAAGTGCTACAATATTCTGTTGATCTTCATTCTTCATTTTCAAAAGAAGAGGACAAGAGCACGCAACAATTGTGATAATTCTGCCTGGCTTTCTTTTTTTCTTTATTTGACTGTCAGCATTTCAGACATTGATGGATGTGATTGAGACATTACAGTTTGAAGAACATCCAAGCAGTCAGCAGACCATGCCATCCAGTGGTCATGCCAGGTCCACCCTACTCCCTGCTGATAGTGAGGGCAACAAATCTACCGGCTTACCAAATGGAATACGGAAAGGTCAGAAATGCCCACAGGGGTATGTACAAATCTCCTTACCAGATGCCCGCAGTAAATTTCCGATGGAGTGGTGGAAGACTGGTGTCGCCTTTGTTTATGCACTCTTCAACCTGATTATGACGAGTGTAATGATCACTGTGGTACATGAAAGAGTCCCACCCAAAGAGAAGAATCCTCCATTACCTGATACATTCTTTGACTATGTGGACCGTGTTGAGTGGGCTTTCAAGATCTCTGAAGTCAATGGTTTGATCCTTGTTGGCCTCTGGACGATCCAGTGGTTGCTTCTTCGATACCGGTGAGTGACTCATTGAATTGCAATCCTTCATCTGATTGCTGTTCTCTTCATAGCATCCAACTGCTTGCAATTCAACAGTCACGAGACCTGTCAATTACAGGACACAAATGTATTCTGCAGAGTTCCTTATGATCCCCTTACCTAAGGAAAGATATAGTGGCATTGGAAGGAGTCTAGAGAAGATTGATCCCTGTTATGGGGGGGATTGTCTTATAAGGAGAGGTTGAGTAGGATGGGTCTGTACTTATTATGGTAAAGGTAAAAGGTTAAGTCACCATAGCCTACCAGATGATGGGGCAACTCTGTCATTAGAGACAGACAGCTGGTGATGATTTAACCTGCGGATCACCACTCCAGAAGACTGGACCCTCACAGTAACCTCATGGTGTGGGAATTGAGCCCAAGCTTTTGGCAGTACCTGCATTGCAAATGAGCTGTTCATCAAACGGTGCATTGGAGTTCAGGAGAATGAGACGTGACCTTAATGAAACATGCAAGACTGCTGGAGGGTTTGACAGGGTAGAAGTGGATTGTGGTTGTTTCTCCCCTGAGGGGGGAGTCTAGGACCAGGGAGCATAATTTCAGAATAAGGGGTTGACCAGCGAGAATAAAGGTGAGGAGAAATTTGTTGAGGGTAGTGAATATTTGGAATTCTTTGCCACTGAAGGCTGTCAAAGCTGGGCCATTTGAAATTTTCACGGCTCAGATGGACAGATTTTCTAAACAATAAGGGAATCAATAGGGAAATGGCAAGAAAATGGATTTGTGGATTATGGGATTAGCCGTGATCTCATTGAATGATGGAGTAGACTTGATAGGCTGACTAGCCTGTCTCTGGTTATGATAGTGAGCCAGAGAACAATTTCATGCTCATGTCTGGAAAGACATTTCTCATGGTTGTGTGATTATTTGATTGGAAATGGATAGAAACACAGGGTATCGGGTACATTAGTTAGTAACAGTCCTTTCATCTCTGGTGTTCTTGTGTTTGAATTTTGGACAGACTGATGGATGAATGTTTTTGTTGACAATAACAGTTTCACACAACATGCTTCCAATATTTGCATTTTTTTTTCAACAGCCATTGGTGCTTAGGAGAAAGTTTGTGGTCAGTCTCCCTCTGGTGCTTTAATGACGTCTGGTTTGTAAACTTTAGGGAGGAACAGTGGTCTAATGAGCACGTTCGTCTTCGTTAAACCTCAGGTACATTGTTGAAAGCCTCGTTTTGCATCAAGCTAATGGGTTGCCAGGCTTCTAGGTACATAGATGTGAATGTTTCCCAACATTTTGCTCTTCCAGCTGGATGAGCAGAAAATTTGCTGTCAATGGCTTTTGGAGGACTGTGGAGACAGTAAAACATCTTTCCTCATCGCTTTTTGTGACCTTGCCTTAAAACATACAACCAGTATTCCCTCTAACTTCATGATCATCATGATTTGACACTAGTTTTCAATTCCAAATTAATTAATTAATTTTGAATTCAACCAGCTGCTGTGGTAGGAATCAAACCTGTGTCCACAGAACGTTAGCCTGAGCCCTGGAGTGCTAGTCCAATTTTATGCACTGTAAAGTAACATTCTGCAGAAGATCATCTTTACAGAAGAATTGAGGAATATGCTGCACTGGCTTTGCATTAGAATTAAATTGATAAAACACCAGAAAGCCCTCCCAATACATCATAACCTGGTGGTAAGCCGGTAAGCCTGCAATCCTGTAAGGGTTTCTTCGTGGCTGTTGTGGTGTGAATTTAGTTTCCTTACCTCTGAGCCAGGAGTCCTGGGTTCAAATCCCACTTGCTCCAGAGGTGCGTCATAACACAGGGTGATTTAAAAACATCCATAAGGGCCACTTCCATGTCTGTGTTTTGATTTTTCTTTCACAATGAGTTTGGCATGTGTAAACTTTCAGTATCAAAATTTCACTATTTGGCCTGCATTATGCTTTTAATTAGCTGACGTTCGTCCAGCACTTTCTGGTTTAGTTTTGTACTTTCAGCTGGTGGTGGGGTGGGGGTGGTGGTGCATAGTGGAATATTCCTAACTTTAATTAGCTCATAGGATAGGTTTATCTTCATCTTGGGAACTACGTTGCTCCATGTCTATATACTAGTTAATTTGGCAGGCTGTTAGACAATGCACTGTGGTCTTTCTGGAGCAGTAAATACTTGTGCTGTTGAAGCAGGGTTGAGTCCATGCCTGCAGCTCTTTTTTAACATTGTTAAAGATGACCAATGATATGCCAAGTTTGTTATCTAGATGGCTAATGTACCCTTGTATTGAACTCTGCACAATATGGGACAGTTGTAAAGCAAACAGAAATGGGAGTCTGGCTATAGATGTGTACAGTCTACAGGCCCCCTTCAGACTCTGGTCTGGTCTGAAACATGTGAAGTGTCATCCTAGTCAATGTCATGAAAAGTTTTTCTTAATAAATATTAACTGGCTAGATATTGGTGTGCACAAGTTTGTGGAGTGGCTAGATAAGTGGCAGACACATTTCAATGCAGAGAAATGAGGTTATGCACTTTGGTAGGAAGAAAATGGATAGACAATACAGAATGAGGGGGTACAATTCTAAAGGGGTCCATGAGTAGAGGGACCCAGGTGTACAGCAACATTTCACTTAAAACTCCACTTTGTACCCACTCTGATGTTCAGCACACATCCATTAGCATCCATCCGTTGACTTCCAGTTTCAGAAGTCAGTGATGTGAACAGACCTTGAAGATTCACGTGCCAAAAAAAAATTACAGGGGATCATTAGTGGATTGTCTGGTGGGGAAAGCAATTAATAAAGCATACAGTAGCCTGGGCTTTAATAATAGAGTACAAAAGGAAGAAGGTTGTGTTGAAGTTGTATAAGAGACTTGTTAGACCCCACCTGGAGTATAATGCACAATTTTTGGTGCCACACTATGCAACATGTGAATACATCAGGGAGCATGCAAAAGAGATTTACAACAGTTGTTCCAGGGATGAGGAATTTCGGCTATGATGATAGATTGAGCGTCTTCTCCCTAAAGACCATGAGGAAAACCTATAGGCGTTTTCAAAATCACGAGTGGGCTGGAGAGAATGATGGGAAGAAACTTTTCCTGGTCGTTAAAGAATCTAGAATGAGAGGACACAGTTATAAAAGGATTTCTAGGGGGTAAAACAAAGCAAATTTGATGTGAGAAAGATACTTCTGCACTGCCTGAAAAGTGCATGTTTAATCAAGGCATTCAAGACTGTATTGGATGATCGTTTCTATTTAAATTATGGACAAGGAAAGGCAGGAGAATGGGACTGATGTTCATGTGGAGAGCCGGTGCAGATGTGATGAGCCAAATGGCTGCTTTCTGCACCATAAGACTTCAGTAATTCTGTGAGCAGTGTCCTTGTGATCCTTGTTGAGGGTAAAGTTTTACGTAGACACTTCAAAAATTATTCTACTCTTTTGAGTAGCGTGAAGTGGTCTCGGTTTAATATCTCATAGGTTTTTGATTTAGTGAGGGGATCAAGGGTTACAGGGAGGAGGCAGGAAAATGGGTTTGAGAAACACTTCAGTCATGATCGAATGGCAGAGTAGACTCGATGGGCTGAACGGCCTAATTCTGCTCATATATTTTATGGCCATTTTGAAAGAGAGCATTTCTGACTGTGTGCTGCACTCCCTCAGCATCTCCTTGGTGTATGGGCCTAGATTAGATAGCTGAGCACACAGAACAGGACTTCAATGTTCTGACTGCAAGACAAGGGCTACCACTGAGCCAATGTTGAAGTAGAGAAAATAATCAAAATTCCTCCTTAAATATAGGACCAGAGATCAAAGTGAAAAGTAAATTTTTAGGTGCGAGGTGGGGTGGTGGGGAAGCAAAAAGACTCCCTTTTGTTTGGAGTACCACATGGGGGAAGAGAAACAAAGTCTGTTTGTTTAAAATGTATTTGTGTCAGGATGAAAGATCCATTTGAAGTCAGTTTTTCTATGATCAGCACAAGGCTATCATGCGGCAGGGCAGTTATACATCTAATGGACTTGACACACACCTGCAAATAAACAGGAAAGTCAATCAGTGAAAACACCAAATGATGTTGTCTTGTGATTTTCTTAGGTTTCCAGGCTCAACTGCTGTAGATACAAATTGTTTTTCATAATTGCTAGAATGTCTCTCTCCAGTCTTCCATTTCTGAAACTAAGGTTTGTATTCCACTCAATTCACAAATTGATGTGAATCTGGTCTATAGTGTTGTAACAATCTGATCAGGACAAACAGCTGGAGAAATGAGGACATCCTTTTTAAATGCCCTTGTGATATGCAGAGGCTACAAGGTCATAAAATAATTACCAACTGGTAAAGGTTGATAACTCAGACCTGTCACATCTGACTTAAAAATGGTACTGAGAGAACATCGGTGACACAAAGCACAGTAATAATATCCAACAGTCTTATTTAAACAGCATATGATTGTAGCAAAATAAATTTTCTACCGAAGAAATTATTAGCTTCCTTACCGCCGTAGACTAAAACTGGAATTCAACCATCTCTTCGTGTTCTTTCTTCCTGAATCACACTGAGAAGGTGCAATCCTGTCCACCACCAAATCCCCACTCTCCCTCTGCCACCAGCTCCGAGAGAGCAAAACTATTATAGGTTGTCTGGGTGGGAATTTCCAATTCAGCAATTCCTGGTCACTAGAATGCTGGACCGTTCAACTTGATTTTGGGTGTGGTGGGAGTGTTATGAGGGGGTGCGTGGTGGTGGCAGAGGAGAATAGGCTGCACTACACTATAACAGATAACACAGACAAGTAGCCATTCCTATCAGAAATTCTGCCTGGCTGCACAAAACATAGACCAGGGACTACATTGACTCATGATATCTTTCAAAAGACTGAGCCAGCTGCCTGGAAAAGGAAGGTAGCACTATGCTTCCCAAAAGAAGGAACAAGCTTTTTTCTGTTTATGTAGCGCCTTTCATGGGCATCCAAAATGCTTTTCAACCGATTTAAATGTTTTATAAGTGTTGGGGTTAGCCAGTTTGCACGCAGTGAGCTCCCCAACTGGATAAGTGATCTGCTTTGAGAAATAAAAATAATAAATGCTGGAAAGGCTCAGTAGAGCAGGCAGCATCTATTGGAAAACAAACAAAGATAAAGTTTAAGGCTGATCACCTTTCATCAGAGCTCTGATTTTAGGTGTTCGTAGAGGAATAAATATCGGCCGGGATACAATGACAACTGCCTTTCTCATCAGAAAGTGTAATGTGGCCTTTTTATGCACCTGAGGGGGTGAACTCTGTTTAAGATCCCACCCAAAAAAAACTACCTGCAGTAATTCAGGATTACCTTGTCAGTGAAGTGAATGTCTGAACAGCCTGCAGTAGGTGCTTGAATGGAGCTTGAACTCATGATCTTCTGTCTGTAAGGCAAGAATTCTCCTACTGAGCAATATTGGGAGCTGTCCTGTTGACTTATCCTAAAGGAATAACCTAATCTGATTCACCATTTTAGAAACGTTCAAGAGTAAATTTACAAAGGGTGGCAAATTAAAAATGCTGGCAGACGAGACCCATGAATCTAGATTCTTGCAGTCGAGTGAAATTTTGAAGAAGTGAGGAATTTGGATTTGGTGAGATTATTGTGTCCCCAGTCTTACACCATCCTTGCAAATCCGAGTCAAGCCCCAGTTTTGTAGAAATGTTGACAGCCATTTGTTATGATAAATATCCATTGCAAGCATCTCTCCTAAATGGTGGTATTAAGTGCATTAATCACTTCATGCATTTGTTCTGCATTCTTTTTAACTCACTGATGTAGGCATCTCTGGTTAGGCCAACATTTTGCCAGAGGACAACTAAGAATGAACCACTTTGTGGATGTGCAGTTATATGTAGGCCAGACTGGGTAAGGATGGCAGGTTTCCTTCCTTCAAGGACATTGAGCTGGGCTTTTATGACAATCGACAGTGGTTACGTGGTCACCATTATGCTAGGTTGTAATTCCAGATTTTTATCAAATACAGATTTCATCGTCTGCCATGATGAGGTTCAAATCCATGTCCTCTGAACATTAGTGTCTGGGTTTCTGGATGACTGGTTCGCTGACATTACCACACTGCCACCATCTCCTCCCAAGTAAAAGTGTGAACAGCTACTTTAAGCTGCCCCGATAAGAAAGCAGCTGGAAGTGAGACCACATAAGGGTGGAATTGCTTCATGTAAGTAGCTGTACGAGAGCTGCTGTAGCTTGTCAATCTTGCATGGCCAGCGACTTAAGGTAACTCATCCTAAAGGGTGGAAAAAATTTAGGGGATTTCGCAACCCCAAATGATGAGGAAGGGCAGCCCTTACAACTGGATGAAAACATCCCACTTGATGTTCATCCAAAATTTTGAGCAGGATCTCCAGTCTCTACTCGGCAAGGCAGTCTGGAGTATGATTTTCTCATTCATTCACAGGATGTGAACATCATCGGCCATAAAGGCTTCCACGTTGAGTGGGAAAAGGCAGAACAGCTTAAGTTCTTGCAGGATGACGTTCTATATTGTAGATCACCTCAGTGGCTGTAATATTGTCCAACTTGCTAATGTTACTTTCACCTCATTTCAGTCATGCAATTAACCACATTTTGGTTAAGACAAAAGCTTCTTCATTAAGACTAATTTCTGGTTTTCCTCTATCACTGTAAACTAAAGTAGGCCCTTCAACACAGTCCAGGAAAGTAGATGGTAGTAGCAAACTACCCCAGCCACACGCTGGAAGTGTTTAGCATCATAGCATTACATAAAAGTTTCTATATTGTTTTCTTTTTAAAAACAAAAAAAGTTGTAAATCATTTCTGGCGAAAGCGCTGATGGGCAATCTGGAACCATGTGACTTCCATTTCACTGAAATGGGTGTTCTGTTTTATCTGGGCAAATGACAACTTTCCGTGGCTCTTTATCTAATGAGACTTCTTTTTTTCATTGAATTTATAACATGGGAGATGGGTTTGGTTCTGGCTCAATTCTGATCAGCAAGAGACCCATACTTGTTGCTGATCCCATTCGGTTTCTCATGACTTGAACAGTTAAGGTGACACAGTGTGACTGCTTTTTGTGTCCACTTCTCATTTTCTGTTTATTCGTTTAAAAAAAAAAATGCAAGCTAAAGATAGCGTTTCATGGAGAAGCTGACCAAGAGTGAGTTAAGATGTCAGTTTTCCATTCAGTTTAATGTTAACTGCATTGTTTTCTTAATCAGAAAAAGTGGTGTTTTAAAATTGTGGCTATCCACTGCTGCAATACCAAAAGGCAAATCTTGACCAGTGCTAACTTCAGATCAGAACTTTGTTAACTCCCGACCTAAAGACTTCTCTCCAGAGTGAGACACTCATTGCCGGATTGCCAGACTTTGTGGTGGCTGGGGGAGGGGTGGGGTGACGTTGTGAATAGGGGTCTCGAAATTGAAGATATATTTCAAGGACACCGCGGTCAGCAACATCGGGAGATAACAACACAGTAACAAAAACAAAATAGTGCAGAAGCTGGAAATTTGTCATTGGGGACATTGCTGGATTTTTATCACGAAGGAGGTTATAACAGGCACTAAAAAAATCTCAATGCCATCGGGCAGAGCATGGCTTTGTAATTGTTTTCCTTTTTGCAGTTTTTTTTTGGTGGAAGTAACCAGCAACCTCAGAGCATAGCAACCAGTGAGCGCACTGAACTTTAGATTTACAGAAAGGCAATTGATTAAGTGCTACATCGAAGTATACTTATAACTGAAGTTTTTCATATTTAGAGGTGAGGAAATATTGGAGATGTACAGACTGTTTGTTTTTCTTAGAGAGAAGGCTGAGAGGAGGTTTCATTGAAGTCTTTAAAATTATTTGGGGCCTGGACAGAGTAGATGGAGAGAAACTGCTCCCACTCATAAAATGAAAGAGCGTGAAAGGGCACAGATTTAAAGTATTTTGCAGAAGAAGAAAATGCAATGTGGGGGGAAGTAAAAGCTTTTACAGTGAGTAGTTAGGGTCTGGAATGCATTGCCTGGGAATGTGGCAGAGGCAAATTCAATTGAGGCATTCAGGAGGGCAGTAGCTGGTTATTTGATTGGAAACCATGTGCAGGGTTTCGGAGAAAAGGCACCCAGTCATAATCCTCCTTTGGAGAATCTGTCACGAGGAAGGGCTGAATGGCCTCTGTCAGACACTTACATCACTGTCAGGGTGATAAGAGCTCATGGTTTAATGGTTGACATATTACTGTGGATAGCGGATTAGTTGGCCAATATGAAACAGAGGAAGGGCATAAATGGATCAACTGATATTACTATTTTAACATAAACAAATTTGGTCATTTCTCTTAGTGGGAGTTTCCTGTGTGTAAATTACCTGCCTTGTTGCCAATATTATTCTTATTCTTATGGGATATGAGTATCACTGGATGGACCAACATTTATTGCCCATCCCTAGTAGCCCCTTGAAGTAGTGCTGAGCTGCCTTCTTGAACTGCTGCAGTCCATGTGCTGTAGAGAGACCCACAATGCCATTAGGAGGAACTTCCCATATTTTGATCCAGTGACACTGAAGGAACGGTGATATATTTCAAAGTCAGGATGTTGAGTGGTTGTAATGTTCACTACATTTCAATGATACTTCATTTGGTATTAAGTGTTTTGGGACTTCGTGAGGTCACTCTGGGGGAGGCAATGGCCTACTGGCATTATTGCTGGTCTGTTAATCCAGAGACCCAGATAATGTTCCAGGGACCAGGGTTCAAATCCCACCATGGCAGATGGTGGAATTTGAATTCAATAAATATCTGGAATGAAGAGTCTAGTGATGCCCATGAATCCACTGTTGATTGTTGGAAAAACCCATCTGGTTCACTGATGTCCTTTTGGGGAAGGAAACTGCCATCCTTACCTGGTCTGGCCTACATGTGACTCCAGACCCACAGCAATGTAGTTGACTTGTAACTGCCCTCTGGGCAATCAGGGATGGGCAATGAATGCTGCCTGGCCAGCGATGTCCTCATCCTGTGAATGAATAAAGAAAAAAGTCCAGGCACTGTATGATGTGGGCACAATGTATACTGCCAAATTTGATCATTGGAGCTAAATACTTAACGTTTAGGCGTGCATACCTTCAGCGGTAATTCCAACAAGAGCTACAACTCCTCTATTTGCCAACTTGCAGCAACTGCTGAAATATCCATGGCAATCACGGCCACCCTCCCAAAAGAAAAGAGAACACTTTACACATCCAATCTCACAGGGATAATGGTTGCTTGGGGAATCATACCACAACAGGGGTCAGTAGAGTCTGGTTGTGGACATAAGGGTAAATGTATGCTGGTGATAAATCATTTCTGAGGAAGGGTCACTAGACCCGAAACATTAACTCTGATTTCTCTGCACAAATGTTGCTAAGCTTTTCCAGCAGCTTGTTTTTATTTCTGATTTACAGCATCCACAGTTCTTTTGGTTTTTATAAGTAATTTATCCCCTTTTTGCCGTAAACTGGTGTTCATTTGGAAGCATCTGGAATTGGAAGCGAGATTTGAACATTTTGGTTCATGTGTCGTTGTTTATAGTGCTATTTTTACTTGATACAGTTGTGAGATCTCTCCAACTGAATAGTTTTTAGTTTAGCTCCGAGTTTACTTTGCACCTTATGCTTTCCACTGCAGGTCGATTGTGGGGCGTAGGTTTTTCTTCATAATGGGAACTCTGTACCTGTACAGGTGTATCACCATGTACATCACCACTTTACCTGTGCCCGGCATGCACTTTCAGTGTGCACCAAAGGTAAGGCCCTCACTTTTAAAATGAGTCATTCTGCATTTGGTAGTTTTATTTTCAATTGCCTCGTGAGATTTCGGTATTTCTGTGTCCATTGTTTTTGCAGTTCGCAATCTGGGAATAATTCCTAGTCTATCAGCAATTTGACTAACCTCAGTTGTAGGAATTGAGTGGGAGGATTGTCGGCTACAATTGGCTCAGTAACAGGGAGATCAACGTTCTCCAATCTTATTATTTTTCAGAACTTTCAGCGGGGGGCTGGAAAATGATAGTTTTTTAATGATATCAAAGGTGAGCTGAGGAACGAGTGGAACAGGTAGTGAGTGTGCCCAGAGCAAAAGGTGAGACATGTCAGTGGTGGCAAAGGAAAAATTTGAGGTGTAAATGATAGGTGTGAAAAGGGGAAAATAGGTTCCAACAAGACACAGCTGAGGCAGGTTTGCTTGCCTAGACTTTGGCCATATTTGGAAGAATGGAACAGGATATAACTGGGGCACAGCAGCTTCCAGTTTAAGTGGCTAGGTCTGTGCAAAAGCATTGGTTGTTTCTGAAATCCCACAGACAAACTTACCTTGGGCATCTGCATAAAGTGTAGTCACATTCCATAGTTTCACTATCACAACCTTTAAATCCATTAAACTATTATCCAACCATTGCATGACATTCATTTCACATCTATTTATTTATGAAAGAAGATAACTGCAAATGTTTCTTGAGTTCACATTAAGGCTTCATTAGAAAATTCATATTAACTGCTCACACAATTGTTTCGCAGTTGGTTCTTTTGAAAGAGATGGTTTTTAAGTACCATTATGCAGTAAAACAAAAGTAATCATTTTTTCTTGCACTCAAAGACAGAGAGGATAACTGGTATCAGTTACACTCCGGTATCTTCCAAACTGTCTTTCAGTGGGAGCCGCAGTGCACGTGTAGTGTCTGGACTGGATGTGCTTTTGAGCAGCATGGTGTCATAAATTGTCAGCCTGCTATTTCCTTATCCATGGTTGTTTTACTCCCTCCCAGCTATATGGGGACTCCCAGGCCAAGCTGCAAAGGATCTTGAAGCTGATCTCTGGCGGAGGTCTTTCGATTACCGGCTCGCACATCATGTGTGGAGACTTTCTGTACAGCGGTCACACTGTCATGCTGACGATCACCTACTTGTTTATCAAAGAATGTAAGTGGTTACTGTTTGGTGTGGGAGTATTAGTGACTTTTACTTGAGTTCTGGCACATTGTTCCAGACCTGGCCCAGTTACAGTTCAGTTTTAGTTACTGCTAGATATCATGAAATTCCACTTTATTTAATGACTCTGGATGACAATTTTTGTTTTTTATACACTCTCTCTCTGTATCAACAGGCATGGGGTTTCAGTTTGCATTTCCTGTTTTATCACTTGTAGTTTCTCTTTTTAATCTGTTTGTGTTCTTTTGATTATCCTCTTTTTCACCTCTATCTGACTTATTTGCAATATTCTGATTTTATTGTCACGTGTACTGAAGTACAAGAAAAACGTTGTTTACGAGCAGTAAAATAGGTGTAAATGATAGGTGTGAAAAGGGGAAAATAGGTTCCAACAAGATACAGCTGAGGCAGGTTTGCTTGTCCAGAGTTTGGCCATATGTGGAAGAATGGAACAGGATACATAACTGGGGCACAGCAGCTTCCAGTTCTTGTGGCTGGTCATAGAAGGGTCTGAAGAAGGGTCTAGGCTCGAAACATCAGCCTTCCTGCTTCTCCGATGCTGCTTGGCCTGCTGTGTTCATCCAGCTCTACACCTTGTTATCTTAGACAGAGGCACACAGGTTACATTGCATATAGCGTGCATTAGTCTGGATCAACGTTAGCAAGATCAGCATTCTCTTGTTTACGCCCTATCCCAAGCATATTGTGTCCTTCATGGCTCTAGTTAACTTCTGCAAAAGGATAATGGTCCCAGCCCATGTTCAGAATGACACCATCTGCTGGCCCTCACAAGTTAGCACATGTTCCAGTACTAGTCTTGATCCTCCAGGAATTTGAACTCTTCCATCCAATTTCCCATACAGCTTGGATTGTTTTCCCAGACTTTACCCATGTTTCGAAGAATAGAATGGAGTAGGACTGTACTTTGGGGTGTGGTTGTGTACAGTGGTCTTTGCAAATCATTACAACCCAATGATTGGCCACTTCACGGTGAGCAAGCTTCATCCTGATTTTTTTTTTTTTTTTGTTGGCTTGCTCCAGGCCCAATTTCATACAAGTGGTTTGATGTTCTGTTCTCCTTTGTTAATTCGTAGTTGTGTACATCAAAGTTTTTTGCAGCCAGTTATATAATCATAAGACTTCATTCAATTCTTCAATAGTGCATTGCCAAGATTTTCTATATGACTTGTATCAGGCTCTTTCCAGAGGCTGTTATGTTTTCCAGACTATATTTGCACCACGCCCAGACATAAACAGACAGATGCCTTGTGAAGAAACTTGATGAGCAAGGGCTGTATCAAGTTTTTTTTGTGTTTAAACAACAGAATTTATTCTTTCCTGAGATGGGCTAGCATTTGTTGCTTATCCCTAATTGTCCAGAGGGCAGTTAGGAGTCAGCCACATTGGTGGGTCTGGAGTCACATGTAGGCCAGGCCAGGTAAAGACAGCAGAGATACATAAAACTGCCGATGCTGGAGTCTGAGATAACCCAGTGTGGAGCTGGAGGAACACAGCAGGGTCAGAAATTTCTGAAGGGTCCTGACCCGAAACGTCAGCTTTCCTGCTCCTCTGATGCTGTCTGGCATGCTGTGTTCCTCCAGCTCCACACTGTGTTATCTCAGGTAAAGACAGCAGTTTCCTTCCCAAAAGAGCATTCATTAATGTTGTATGAACGTTGCATTTTATCTCGACCTAAATTCATTGTTCCTATGATAGATTTGACTCATGGCGTTTTCTGCTGTTTAATCTGTGCATAATTAAAACAAAATTAATTGCAATGGCTGTTTTGACTAGATCAAGCTTAATTTTAGTATTTTTGAGTTCTGTGCCCAGTTTTCCAGCCCCATCCAATCCACCCACACCCACATTCTTTCTCTCTCATGCAACACATACACATGCAACAGCTGCCCGCGCATACACAATGCGTGCAACAGACACACATGCACATTTTTACCTCTTCCTATTCTTCCATTTGGAGATACAAAGTCAGTGAGAGTACCCAGTGCCCAATTGGCAGTTATTCATATGTAAGCAGTACATGTGAGCATCCCAGCAAACTGACCCTGTCACTGCCAAACTCGATATATGGCTTTTAACTGGTATCCTGTCATTTGTAACAGCCCGCAGTCCAAGTTGAACACCCTGAACCACTGATACCTCGTGCGCCTCGGGGAACCTCCAACTCAGTGCAGATTGAGAGTCAGACTTGATCTTCTGGGATTTGTGAGACTTTGTGACACAAAACAAAGGCATTGCAAGGTGAAATATATTGTTTAGCTGAAGACTGGTCAGAGCAAGACAGGGTACAGGAAAGATTTACAAGGATGATCTCAGAAATGCCCTGAAAACATTGTCAGGAAAGGATGGACAGTCTCGGACACAGTTTTATTGTGTTTTGCAATAGAAGCAAATGTGAGATGAGATAAAAACCTTTTCAAACAGGAATTAGTTAGAGTTGGGAATGCACTGTCTGGAGATGTGGTGGAGGCAGGTTCAATTGAGGCATTCAAGAGGACATGGATACTTATTTAAATAGAAACAAATGTGCAGGGCTACTGTAAAAAGGCAAGAGATTGGTATTGATGCTCGGGCACCCAGTACAAACTGCACATTAACAATTCTGTGATACTCTCCTGGGAAGAGAAGATTCAGAGGTGGATTAATCAAGGCTGTTAAATTATGAAAGGCTTTGATACGGTGCTTACAGAGACAATGTTTCCTCCTCTGGGGAAGCACATAGCTAGAGGTTTGTCATTGTCAGATAGTCACCGGGAAATCCAATAGGGAATTTAGGAGAGACATTTTTATGCAATGCATAATGGGAACATGGAACTGCCTACCATAGGGAATGGTTGAAGCAAATACGATCGATGCAGTTGATGGAAAGCCACACATGCACAAGAAGGGAAAGGGAATAGGGGCTTACTATGATTGGAAAAAAGCTCTTGTAGAGCATAAACATTGGTGTAGATTGGTTGAGCTGAATGGTCTCTTTCTGTGATGTATAATTTATAAAATCCAGTTAATGACTGACACAAGGTCTGCAGATGTTATTCAGTCCAATTTTACAAAATTGGCCGTTCTGGTCTTAATTTTGCATCCATTATAAATTCCTGTGTTCCAAGTTATAATGTAAACTGTACAGTTATTATGCTGTAGTTACAATAGTGGCACTGTTGACAGGAAGAGTATGCTGTGTGATTTTTTTTTTTAAACTGTATAATTTATATAGCCGTTACTCATTTCAGTTATCTTTACAGAAAATAAGATGATGGGAAAAACATTGACATAAAAGGGTTTCACTTTAGCCCAACTTACCAGCAGAAAATGTACAGGATGAGGTTGAACACTGTTTTTTACATCCAAGTTTAATATATTTTCTGTACAGTTAACCATAGTAACGTCAGGCGGCTGTAAAACCAGCTTTTTCATGATATCATTTGTTTCCTGAGAGGCAGATTAGGTTATGATTGCTTTCCATGACCTGAGAAGCCAGTGCTGCAGATGATAAGTTTGTGCAGAATTACATTTTATTATAATGAACACAGCATGCATTTGATTGATAATTATCTGTGTTAGGCATTTCATAAGGATACCATGAGGTACATTTTGATCTTTGTTGCCTGTTTGGTAATTGAGCAGAGTGGATGGTACCTGCTTCACCTCAACTGCTAAATGACATTGGAATGGAAATCAGGTTAGTAAATTTATGATGCAAAATCCAGCGGGACAGGTAACCAACCAGATATTAAAGTTGAAATTGCTAAATTTTACAGCAGGATTTAATATCCTTGGGTTTATTTTCCACAGATTCACCGCGTCAGTTTTGGTGGTATCCTTGGGTCTGCTGGCTCCTCAGTGCAGGTGGCATTGTGTGTATCCTCATAGCCCATGAACATTACAGTGTGGATGTTTTAGTGGCCTATTACATTACAACAAGGCTTTTCTGGTGGTACCATACGATGGCCAACATTCCGGTGAGTTTTTCATTGTGCATGGAGAGGAAGACCCAGTTTGAAGCCCAGATATTTTACCACTTTTTTTGGCCAGAACAAGAAACAGTTTTATTTTCCTCCAATCCCAATTTAACTATTAACCAAGTAACCGCTTCTCATATGAGACCATGCAATCTCAAAAGAAACAGGAATGGAGAAGGCCACTCAGCCTTCTCTGTCAGTCAAAAAGATTATACCTGATTTTCTACCTCAAATCCACCATCCTATACTATTTCCATATGGATTGGTTCTTTTAATGTTCAACTGCCTAGGATTGAGAATTTAACAGATTCACAAACTTCAATGATGTTCAATTTAAACTTAAAATTCCTATCTGTCTCTGGCCTTGCCTCTCCCATCACGATGATCTGTTCCAGCTTTATATAGCCCGCATCCTGAGACCTCTACATGACACCAATTCTGGCCTTGTGGGTGTGGCTAAATAGTTGCGTTTGGTGATATATTCTTCCCTGTCTTTCTGTCCGGTCACTGCCAGTGATAATGCAGACCAGACTCAGCCAGTAAAACTGCACACTTGCAACTGGAAACTGCAAACAGTTATTGCCTCTCCTCCTAACAAAAAAAAACTGCCTGTTTCGATCAAAATGGTATAGTTAAGAAGTTGGAGTACCAGATAGTTGTTGCAAGGCCTTATGAGATTTTTCTGTCAGAGCTATTTCAAGATGCGTCTATGAAAATAACATTTTTTCTGATCTAATGGGATCAGACTGGCTGCTGTTTTGATAACTTAAATGGAAATGTGTTGTTTTACTCTATATAACCTTTTGGCTATAGCTTTGGTCCTATGAGCACCAGGAAAGAGAGCCAAACAAGAGGCAGCAAGCACTGGACAAGAAAGGTCAAACAGGGGCAGGGGCTGGGGCAGCGTGGAAGAGTGGAGGCTGGGGGGAGGGGAGAGGCGATGATCAGGAGATTGAGTGAGGTTGTCAGACATGATTTCTCCTTCCTGAAGACTGACAACATTTTAAAATCCCCTTGGAATGTTTTATTGCATGAAAGAATTTTTAAAACTTATTTGGGGATGTGGTAGTTATTATGTTGAGATCAATTTATAAATTATAAATAGACCATGAGAGATGCTGGTAGCACTTGAAGCAGGATTATTTATTCCACATCTTTATAGCTTCACAGTCAAACCTAGACTGACTCAAAGCTCCCAATGTGGGTCAACTGATCCACTCTCTTAAAGGGACAGCACACACTCCCAACTATGCACATACCGATAATAGTAATTGCTTCTCATCCTGTTCCTAAATGTCTGACCCCTAATTCTAGACTTTCCAGACTGGGAGAACATATTTGCGATATCCATCCAGTCAAATCCTTTAAGAATTTTGGTGATCATCTGTTTTTCTATATTATGAAATATCAGCAGATATTCATTTGTGAGCAATAATGATGTGTGATCAACCATGTGCTATGATGAGGACATTGTGTCTTTTAAATTTAGCTGTACAGACTACTGATATTAGATGACCTAACCCTGATTTTTAGGTAGTTTTCCATTAGGTTCCAAATCTCTGGACTATTGAGCAAGTAAACATGCAGCATAAGACTCTTTTTTAATTTAAATTCTTGTTTTTCTCAACAGACATTGAAAACCCCCTCACAGACCAATCAATTCTCCCAGGCCTGGTGGTTCCAGGTGTTCCTTTTCTTTGAGAAGAATGTTCATACTTCAGTTCCCTGCTCCTACGTGTGGCCACTTTCTTGGCTTCCGAACTGTCTGAAGTCATCGTGTTGGAGATATTCTCGGACTCAAAAGTTGTGAGAAGATGGCACAAGCCCCAATGATCCTCAGTCTTTTTTCCTGTGCAGCATCCTATCAGAAGGAACATATATATCTTTAAGGCTTACATTCACTTCCATCTAATAAACTGAGCACTTTTCTAAATGCCAACTTGAATGTAAGCCTAAAGAATCTAGGACAGTGGGGAACTAATGATTTGCAGGCCCAAGTAATTGTTTTTATTGACTACAACCTACATTTTAAATGCAAGTCTGGCGATAGTGCAATTACTTGACATTCCTGAAGTGTCAGTTAAATCATGAGTGAAGATTTCCGATTTAAGTCTCACTTGTGATCTAGATAATAAGGATGTACAATCAGATTCTTTGGAAGAGTAGTTCTACCATGTTTGAACATTTCAATTGAAGGAAGTATTGAAAGACCAGAGGACTAACAATCTGGCTGAGTATATTCTAATAAGTCTATGCAATGTATTATTTTTGCACATTCTTTCAGATATAACTACAACTGTGAATTTGGAATTTCTAAAACGAGTGTCCTTAAGTCTTTTCTCTGCAGAAACCGGGATTCTGCAATGGGAACGTGTAGCACAAGCCAAAAGAAACTGACCGAAAAGGTGTTCATGGGCTCTCATTCTGGGCACACCATTCTATATTTGTTTCATTCTGAAAGTCATTGTGTAGAATTGAGTACCTTTTTTGTTATGTGGAAATTTAAAAACTCCCAAATCCCTTCTGCACAATCCGCCTTCCCCAAACCCCTGAAGGTTGTGTGCAAGTGCACAGAAGATGTGATGCTGAGGTCTCCTGTTCAGACTGTCATTATGCTCCATGGTCTCAGCAGTTGAGACTCCAAACTTGGTAACAATGCTACTGAACTAGGAAGAAGTCAGCATTCCTGATGGTGATGCAGAGACTCCTGGTATATAACGCTGTGCTGGTGAACACTGGGTAAAACCAACACCAGGATAGATTGCAAAGCCCTTCGAGGTCTTTTGGTTTCCCACCACTCGCTGGCTGCACATGCACGTGAAAAGTAGGCATGTAATTAGAAAGTTATCACTGGAATGAATTTCCAAACTAGCGCTCAGCAATAAAACCGGAGATTGTGGGAGGAAAGCAGATGAAAGGGAGAGAGGATTCCATGTGCAATATGGGATAGTTTAAAGTTCACTTATTCAGTTTTTTTTTTTGCAATGATTTAAAGCTGTATTCTTGTGGATCAATGTTTTGATGGCAATATGCAACCTCAGAGGTAAATCCTGACAGCAGTTGCATTGAGTGCAGTTGTGGAATTTATCTAATGTCTGTAAAGACCCCAGTCAACTTAGACTTTACATGTTTATTTCTCATTGTTGTTTTCCTGTCACCAGTCATAAAAGTTTTTAGTTTTATTTGCTAAAATGTAAATTGCTGGAGTCTTTTTACCCAAAACACTAGCCAGTGTGAAGTGTACTGATGTATACTTGTATATTGCATCTCCAATAACAGAACAGATGATGCGTTCTAAAGATCAATATTATGCATGCACTGCATCAGTGTAGCACCTTTATTTTGAAGCAGCTTGCTACTTGAAAAGTTATGGTGTAGTCATTCGTGAAGGAACAATTTATATATCCTAGGCCTTACCATATAAAATCTTAGTCATGATTGCATAGAAAATCTATATATAGCATAGAACAATAAGTTTCCTGTTGACTTCAGGAAAAGGAATGGGACCACATTTTTGAACGAGGAGTTGTTGAATGGGTTTGGTGCCTGGTACTGGAGTAGGAGTAACTGTGGCTTCCAGGGAATGCATTTGGGTCTCTGCCCAGACTCTGTTACTGTGTACAGCCTGTCTGCCTGCCTCTCTGCATAAAGATTAGGACAGTATTTAAAACTCTGCACATAAAAGTGGAGCTAGTATTGCACATATGCATAAACAATGTTACAGCATAGAAGTGAATGAGCCCTTTCCATGTCTATCTCTTGCTCTCTCTGTTGGAAGCTGCACACATACACCACTGCCCTGTTACAAGGATCTGGCCTAGTTGTTCAAGCAACAGTTGATAGTAACCTTTCCAATTCTGCCTGTTACAGTTCTTCTGGTGACTTCCTGTATGGAAATTTCACACTTTGGGACTTCTCTGAACTTAGCATCTGTGGAGCTATGTTTCATTCATTTGTCTTGAGTTGCTCAGTGTTTGAAGAGGGGGATAATTGTACGCTCATATTTGGTAATTCTCAGTCAACCTTTTTGAGTTGAACCTCCGGACAGCAGTAGTTTAAAAATTGGCATTTATATAGGATATCCCTTTGTGTGCAATTTAGCTGTAACAATATCAGAAAAGTGTCCATTGGCTACTCATCGTACTCCTGCAACGTATAAGAAACGCTCTATAAATGCTCAACTAACCAGCACCCTTGCCTCTCCTGTGTCCCCCTTCCCACACAGTGCAGGTTTAAAAGTCAGAGACACAGCAGTACGAGCCCACTCCCTATTAGAACATTTAAGATGAAGCAATTGTGTCAAATATATTTTCGATTTCAAGGAGTGTGGGTAATTTTAACTTAATTTTAAGACTTGATTTGAGTCCCTTGAAAGTTGTACCTTGCCATCATCCCTACCTACAAACAGAAAATGTTTCCAAATCAAAAATGATAAAACTTGAAGAAAATTAAGAGTTTGCTAGAGGATACAATCATTTGTATTTTTATTATTCAATTTTAATTATTCATATTTTAATTCCTTTTTAATAATCTCTTGCCTTGTATGTCTCTAATTTTGTGTATGTTATACACTTCGGTTTCTATAATCATGGTTTGTCATTCAAAATGTAATTGTGTACAATTAAAATAAAATATTTGATTGTTTTAAAAACATGTTGAATAGTATGGACTACATTTCATGACCACTAGAAAACTGACAACCTTAACTTTTGTGGCTTCAGTTTTCTCTGCTCCTCCCTCAAAACCTTTGACTGACTCTTACTGGAGTTTGGTTGCTGGTCAACCTCAATGACAGAGTGGTTTAACTTGTTTATTTACCCCCGCCCCAAACCATCTCCACACTGCCTCATTTATCAATTCAGACAATGGGAGTTGCCAGGCTATTTTCCTTGAGGCTGCAACACAGCCAAGATCAGTTTAGTCCCAGCTCCCCCCCACACACACACTACTCTTTCCAATCTGTGGATCAAATGCTGAAAAGTTCTCTTCTATATGGCTTAACAATGGAGTCATGAGTTAATTTTGGATGGGATATTCATTAATGTTTGTGGGCTGTTTAATTCATTCCATGGACCATTCATGTGTGAAGACTGAATATTATCTTTAAGCTTCTAATCAAGCTACACAAGTAAAATTTGTTTGACTGAATTTGTGTTCTCACCCTATAGGTACACCCTATTTAATTAGATCCAAAGATTAAGGATTGATTGAAAACAACAAGACATAAAGCACCCTCCTGCTACCTCAGCCCAGCCCCCGCTGCCTTCCAGTTTGAGAAGATGCTGCTTAAGTTTAATCAGCTGACCAGCACAAAATATTCATTGGCTTTCTTCTCCCTAGGACCATCTGACCTGATGAGGCTGTGGCTTGTCATAGGACTGAATGGGTCAAAAAGTCCTCGGCAGGCAGAATACCTCTTCAGATCCTATTAAATAACACTTGGCCAGCAGAGTAGCTGAAGTTCTGTGAACCTTAAGGGCTCTGAGAAGATGATTCGAAGGTTGATCCAGTTCTGATCTTCCAGTAAAAGCAAAATATTGGAGGTGGTGGAAATTTGGAATTAGAATTGAAAGTGCCAGTGTAACTCAGCAGGAAGAGTTATATCAGACTCCCGCAGAGTTCTGCTTCTCTTTGCACAGAAGTTGCCAGATCTGAGTTTCTCCAACTTACTGTTCTGATTTTCCATTGTTTGATCTTGCAGTAGCAGTAGCATTGCTTATTTACTCATCCGTTCTACTCACGAGGAAAGTCATCACAAATTGGTCAGTACTTTGTGTGGTGTGGGCCGAGATTGGAAAAGAAGGCCTTTAGCCCTGAAGTTTGTTCTGCCTTTCAGTTAGAGGGCTGATCTGTATCTTAATTCCACCTGTTCATCTTGGATCCCTAATCTTTAGCACCCTTATGGAATAAACTCCTACATTCAATTCAGATATTTGAGTTTTCAGGATCTCTGTTCTGCAAGTGTAACCCTGAAACAAACATGTAGTATATAAGCACCTTTCAGTTCACAATGTTGCAAAATATTCCACTTAATTTATTAGTTCTGTAGTTACTGCTGTTACACTCCACTGCAGTGGGGGATTGGCAAACAGCAGTTTATATATATTCAAAAATATTCTTAAATATATTCAAGGTTGAAGTAGATTCTTTGTTTTATTTATCATGAGGCATGGTCATCACTGGGTGGCCAGCATTTATTGCCTGTCTGTAGTTGCCCTTGACAAGGTGGTGGTGGTGAGCTGCTGCAGTCCATGTTCTTGAGGTGGACCCACAAAACTGCAGTAACTACAGAACTAATAAATTAAGTGGAATATTTTGCACTGTTTTGTAAACTGAAAGGTACAATGTACTACACATTTGTTTCTGGGTTATACTTGCAGAACACAGATCCTGAAACGTTCCAGGATTTTAACCCACCAAGACTGAAGTAATAACAATTGTATTTCCAAGTTAGGATGGTGAGTGGGTGGTGTCTACATGTTTGCTGCCTTTGACCTTCCAGATGGAAGTGGTTGTGGGTTTGGAAGGTGCTGCCTGAAGATCTTTGAATTTCTGCACTGTATCTTGCAGATGGTACACACTGCTGCTACTGAGTGTTGGTGGAAGGAGTGGACGTTTGTGGATGTGTTGCCAATCAAGTGGGCTGCTTTATCCCGATTAGTGTCAAACTTCTGGAGTATTATCAGAACTACACCCATCCAGGCAAGTGGGCAACATGCTGTCGCACTCCTAATGTGTACCTTGTACATGGTGATCAGGCATTGGGAATCAGGAAGTGAGTTACTCACTTCAGTACTCCTAGCTTCTGACCTGCTCTTGTAGCCACTTGTTGGAAAAACCCATCTGGTTCACTAGTATCCTTTAGGGAAGGAAACTGCCATCCTTACCTGGTCTGGTCTGGTCTGGCCTACATGTGATTCTAGACCCACAGTAATGTGGTTGATTCTTAACTACCTTCTGTGCAATTGGGGAATGGGCAATAAACACCTAGCCAGTGGTGTCCTCATGCTATGAATGGATTAAAAGATATTTATATGGAAAGTCCAGTTGAGCTCCTGGTCAATGGTAACCTCCAAGAATGAGGATAGTGGGGGATTTGGTGATGGTAATGCCATTGAATATCACTCCAGAAAAGAATGATTAAAGGTGGGATTATTAACAAGTGGCAGAGGGTTGAAGAGGTAACGATTCCATGTCTATGGGGAAGTCAGCTCCAACTGGGTTTTACCAACTGGAAACATGACTTTGCATTTCACTGAGGCATGACAAGGCAGTGAGCAATTCTAAAGTAGGTTTCTGGGATGCCCACAAACCCACTGTCCCAATGAGATAAGGACAGGATGAGGGCAAAGTGATTTCATAGCATTCCTCATAAGGATACCATTCATCCACCAGCAGTCAGGGTTCTGGTGCCCACACATGTAGAATTTTGGATGCAATTGACTGGACGCCAAGCTTGTGACACTCCATAGAGTTAAATTTCCATAGTATGTAGTGAAACCCAGGAACCAATTACCCGACCTTACCCACTAGTTACCAAACTCAGGTGTCTCACTTTCACTCTATTCCTAGTAGGCTACAACTACAAAAAGAAAGTACGTTCTCTCTTGTTAGGCACTACTCACTGTGTAGCGAAACCCAGCATTCCAGTTTTACTGACCCTCCTCCTTTATTCAGTAGTTAACCTTCCACGCTTCCTACCCCAAGTGTAGCATACCCCCAATATAATAATAGGTACAATACTGTGCTCAAGTCCTGACATGGGCTTTGAAATTAAGACTTTGTGACTCCAAGGCAATAAGCTATCACTTGATCCAAAACAGACCTGTAAATCTACTTCTAGTCTTGTGCCTTAAATATCAGAAATTCTATTGAGTAAGAATGCAAATGCACAAAGACAACACATTATTGCAACACTTGTGTTTAAACTGGGGCACTGCAAACCCAATATCAAAAGGAACCTTGGTACAAAAGGTAAAAGTCTGGTTATTAAACACAACGTTTGATAATCAGTTAACTCATGCTTCCTAGGTATCAGTATTCAGAACAAAATTGAAGCTGCTTCACTCGCATCTTTGTAAGAGACAGGAGAGTAGATTTTCTGACATCCTATGTATGAGCTGGAAGAGAAAACTAATAAATGGCCACAAGTGGCAGAAGAAACAATTATTTGGACAGTTGGAGAGTGTTGTGTGTTGGAAGGGAAAGCAAGCATCCATAAGTATGGTTTGGATGGATGACAAAAGGGCCAACACAACATCCATTTCTCTCTCCCTTTTATCCCCCACCACATGGAATTAGGATGCCAGCTGTACCTCTTCCCACTGGCAAAGGTGGGATCAGCAACTCATTTAGGAAGACAATGATTCCACATAACCCCATGTCCCACTACACTGGAATTCTTATGCCATCCTGTGCTTTTATATTTAAACACTGGCTACGAACAAAGTTTGGCAAAGTCTTTCTCCATTTTCAGTGTCAGTAAAGATACAATCAGCTCTCAAGTCAAAAAAAAAAGTCAAAGCGGAGTTTCAACAGAAGTACGTCAAACCGAAGTACAAGTTAAGCATTCTGTAAGTGGAAAAAATATTAACACAGAATACTTTCCACATCCAAAAGGTTGAGGAGTACTTTTGCGCAGAGTTAATTTTGCTTCAAAACAAGATTTAAGCCTGTGGTAATTTGAACAAGCAGATTTTATTTTACTGTGAAAAGTTGCTGACTCACAGCAGTGCTTCCTTTCACTCTACAATGTCTTTTCTTAAAAAACTGCTATCAACAGCTGCTTCAGTGACTAAAAAGGGCACTGCAAATTGGCACAAATGGAAACTTCCAGAAGCCTCCTCCATGGGCAGGAATTTCATCATCCGCTGAATGGACCTATTTGTCCAGCTTTGATAAAAAGATGTCAACATTTGGGTAGAGTGCCAGCCATTAGATAACCATGATTGTATTACCCGGAATGAGTGGCCAAGAACTCTTGCTTTTTTTCTGTCTGTTCAGAAGGCATCGATTTATGTTGGGGCACAGTTCCATGTCCACTCCTAAAATTTCTTTCCCCAAAAAGGTGATTTATGTTTTCACCCATACAATTAGTGGAGGAAAAAGTGCATTCCATACTGGAATATCACTTGGTGGAAATTGGACCTTAGTCCAGTCCATTAGGAGTACAGTCCTAACACTGTAAAGTGTCCAACTGAAAATTGAGTCAGGCCACTGGCTCTGCCTGGGTTTTCCAGTTGTGAATGTTGTCCTCAGTTGGGGGTGGTTCCCTAAAACAGGGGTTAGGGCTCTTGCCCACATCTTTTTGCGTGTTGGTGGAAATTGAGCTACCATGCTTGGAAAAAGAGGCAACCTCTACTTAGATTGAGCAACATCTGCAGCTAGACAGTCAGAGACTGCTACTGAAAAAATAAGTTTAATTTTGAAAATAAAATCTAATTTGGAGCCTGGAATTTGAAATTCCTGATTGTCAATTTGTAAAGGACGAAATCAGAGCCAATCTTTACTCAGTTTAGCTTTATTTGATGAAGTGAAAATTTTACAAGTACATAACTCCAGACTCAACACCCCCTCATTGTCTTTTATACTCTTTTGCAAATCAAATTAACTTGAAAATGAAGTGAACTAATTAACTGGGGAACTAGCCCTTA